TTGCATAAAGAAAAGATGAATTCTTAAATAAAAAGATTTATCAAATTGCATTGAAATAAAAATGGTGTTTAGTCAACGTACATTCTTACAACTCGTTTCTCTCAATCACACAGATACTTAGAGTAAATGAAAATTTTATACACAATTGAACACACACATCTTAACACTAAGACCTGCTATTTATAACCATCGAACATAAATGTCATTAGCGGCTAACAAACGAAATCAAGACAAGTGTCGCTGCACAAGCCTTCAAACCATAGGAGTGCTCCACGTGTCTTTCTTAAAAAACAGATTTTTCCTCTTTTATTTGAATTCAAACGAACTTGTCGAAATGTCCCCTAGCAATACTTCTGTCGAGTTGGGTCTTCCAACTGCTGAGAAATATCTCTAAGTCCATAACATAGACCCTCTTAGCAAAAGGACGTCTTCAACTCTCATTCCAAAAACATAATTTTAGTCGAAGTAATTAAATTTCTACGAAAAATTCTATTTATTACTTTTAATTTTATTCATGCGTCGAAATTATGAGGCAACATATCTATGGTAATACAGTCACCAATTTCAGACATCTATGCCAAACGAAAATTGAAACGAAACAATGACTTTTATTAATGTACAATGCTTCACGATTAAAATTTACTTCAACATATATAATATTTGTTACAACTAAATTGAAGGTGTAACTTTATTCTTAGAATGGATATATATATATATATATATATATATATATATATATATATATATATATATATATATATATATATATATATATATATATATATATATATATATATATATATATATATATATATATATATATATATATATATATATATATATATATATATATATATATATATATATATATATATATATATATATATATATATATATATATATATATATATATATATATATATATATATATATATATTTGTTACAACTAAATTAAAGATGTAACTTTATTCTTAAAATAGATAAGATAGTCACAAATTCGAATTCATGCATCTTAATCTAATATCTTTATATAGATATTACCTAAAATGTTTTAACTAAATTAGTTATATTTTTATTTTAAGAAGACCTCGATCCTCGATAGCCTATATTCAGATTTGGATTTTGCATATTAAGTGTATAACAGTTCGCCATCATTACATTTATTTCCCATTGACAACAACGAACAAAAAAAGATAATCATATTGGTCCTTATAGCCCTTAACATCTTGTGATCTTGGCAGCACCACACTTCTTAATATCTTCCGCAATTTTTATCTTTACTTGGCACCGCTACTTATTTTTATAATTTTCAAACTGAATAATTTTGAATAAAAAATGTAAACGAAAATTTTCAATAGTTTATTTCAAAATTTTGAAAACAAATTAAATTTTTGATAGTTTATTTTTAAATTTATGAGATAAATCTTTTATTGATCTTTTTGGAAAAAAAATTAATATAATCCTCAGCTACTCTTCATAATTGATAGTACTATAGAATCCTCAGCTACTTTTCATAAAAAATTACATGATGATGGGGCCAAATTAATGGATGCCAACCAACTTTTAAAATGTATTATGTTGAAGATTTTTTTCTTCTAAAACACAATAACGTTATAATTATCTCAAAACTATTTTTTTTCTTACTTTTATTTACAGATTTATTACATCAATTGTCAACTTTAATATAAATTAAAATTATGATAAATTAACTGCGGAGAAAATTGTGAAAACAAATATAAACTAAAAGTGGTTTTTTTTAAACTGACTTTCATGTTTAAAAAAATAATTAAAATATAATACTATATAAGTTTTTTTAACATATCACTTTATCTATAAAATAAATTGTTGAATAAATAATAAAACTTATTAAAAAATGTATTGTATATAAAAATATTAGGATGTTATATCACTTTATATATAAAATAAATTGTTAAATAAATAATAAAGTTCATTAAAAAGATAAATGTATCATATCTAAAAATATTAGGATGTTACATTCTTATTTCTTTAAAATAATTTCATCAACGAAATTAAAAGGTTGCGGTAAATAAAAAAAACACTTGATAAAATTCAAAAATAAAACTATTTAACTTTTCTTATATAAATTTACCGTTGAAACTTATTTAAATTACTAGTGGTCTGTTTGCATTTTATCATCATTATGACATAACATGACATATGTATTTCTGTATGGTGCCTTAGTGGTGGATTGTTTTTTCCATTAATATGGAATGAATTGTGTATGGTGTCTTAATGGCAAATTAATTATATCCAGATCATGAAGTTTTAAGAGCATGCATGCTCATAGGTAGGGCTGGAAATAAGTCGAGTCGAGTCGAATTCATCTCAGCTCGGCTCGACTCGTTAAGAATTAGTTCGAGTTCGAGTTCGACACAAACTTTTTTTTAAGCTCAAACTCGACTCGTTATAAGTTCACAAACAGTTCGGTTCAACTCGTTAGGTTCATCTCATTAGGTTCAGCTCACATGATTCACGGACTTAAAAACTATTTTTTTAAATATATATATTTTTTAGTATATTTAACATTTTAAATAAATATATTTTTTAAAATAAAATAAAAGTTATCATACTGAAATTAAACTTTATCTTCGAAATCTACTAATTCAAAACCTACACAACTTTCAAGAGATACATTTGAGAGTCTAATTCAAAAACTACTAAATTGAAGATTAAATTTGTCTAAGATTTGGAGTAAATATTTAAACCTAATCTTAAAGACAATATAATTCTTCTCATATGTAATCGAGTTGACTCATGAACCTAACGAGTCGAACTATGTATAGTTCAAGTTCAGCTCATTTAGTTAACGAACTTAATTTTTCGCTCATACTCAGCTCATTTGGTTCATGAACCTAGTTCAACGATTTAATTGACGAATCGAATTCCGAACTATTTTTGAGTTGGTTCGGTTTATTGCCAGCCCTACTCATAAACAAAGATATTTGTAAAATAATGATTTTTGTGGATTTGATTTCTCTCAAGATGTTATGTTTTGTATTATTTGTTTTATAATACCATATTGTATTTTTGGTTTGATTTGATATGGATGATAAAAAATTGACCCATTACAAATAACATATTAAGTACTAATGAGTTCAAAATGTGAAGCTATGAGGATAAAATATTGTGCGCGGTCGTGAGATTTAATAAATGGTTTTGAATTTGTGATTTCATTTTGTAAGAAGATTTATTTTATTATCAAAATTGAAAAATGAAGATTTGTAATGTCTTAAATATTTTATTTTAATATTTTTTATTAAATTTTGGTTTTTAAATTTTATTAAGGATGATTACTTTGTTTAAAGATAAAAAATAGTCAAATTATTTAAAGTAAATGGAAATCTTAGAGTAATGGGCGTTACAACAGGGTATAAGAGCATATCTCTCCTAGTACGATATAGTTTAGGGACGGATCAAGTAGAAATTTATGAGCATGTAACACCTGAGACCGAAAAGGGCAGAGAATGGTTGTAACACTAGAGACCGAATAGGGCGGAAGAGGTCGTCCAAATTCGAATCGAAATAAAAGAATTCTAAGGTTGTGCATGTATGAGACTGCATGGTTGGAGGAAGACTTATAAAGATTTATTGGTACTATCTATACTAAATAAGAAAAAGGAGAATGCAAAAAGACGAAGTGAGAGAAAGAAAGGAGCTGAGGGAGGCTATTTATAGCTTTAATGCATGTATGAAATCCGACACTTGGTACCGATGTGGGAGAAACTAAAGAGTTTGCGTGAGTTTTCAATGCAAGTATTAATGGCGAGTGAGAGGAGTTACGATAAACGTGAAAAGAGATTCTGAGTGATTCTCTTGGAAGTGGCAATGCGTCAGAAAGTGTATGATGACATCCACAAAAATGAAACGGCATCAAAAAATTGTGATTAAAAAGGTCACGTCTCTCTTGTTAGATGCAAATCGAAACATGACTTTTTTTTTTTGGGGGGGGGGGGGGGGGGGGGGGCAATTTGTTACACTGGATTTTTTGACATAGTTATAAATGACAAGTGTCCATGAAGTTAGTCGTAAGTATGCCACGTGAAAGATAAAAATAGGATAATTCAATATGGTGAACATGACTCAAGGTCGGAAATCACCCAATGTGATGTTGGGCGGAGGTGGCATGGTTGAAGAACATAAAAAGCACGGGGACTTAGTGAAATTAAGTGCTATGCTATACTAGCCATGCAGTGAAGCTGAACAATATGTCACAATGGAAAAGAGTTTATCACTATAATGGATGATACGTCAAGACATTTAAACAAGTGAGAAAAATGTACGCATGCATTCCACCAATTTAATACATTCCAACATTTTTATCTTTAAAAAGTCTTTCTTTTTTATGCATTTAAACCCTTTTCATTTCTATTGCCTTTACGTTTCCTCGCACTTTATTTCGACTGCCTTTATCTTTTCAGCAAATTTTATTTCTTCCGCATTTTAACTTCGAACCTATTACTTTATATTATCTTGCATTTTATTGGCGTTTTGTCTTGTTTTTTCAAGTAATCACACCGTCGTTTCAGAGATTTCTTTAACTTCGACGACCACTCTTATTTTTAACAAAAAACATCAGGAGATTTTTGAATTTGATCCTTTAAGTATTATACAATCTCACATTTGTTTGCAAAATTCTAGCGTAAACAGACATAAAAATGCACTTTAGATTGTGCTTAAGCCGTATCAAATTTGAAGAGATGCACTTAGTCCATATAAGACACTATGCCTAAAATTTAACCTTGTGCCTTCAACGTTTCCAAAAGAGGTTTTAAAAAAATGCAGCACAAGAGAGAATAGTAAATTTATTACAATAAAATAACAGAATACTATCTAAATATGTTAAATTTTGGCATATAAATATATCAGAGAATCCAATCAATGCAATACAACTTTGCTTTTTATATGATCATATAAAATAAAAGAAGCATAGCTTACATATTCTCTAATAATCACTTCATTTTCCCAACTCTAGATTCATCATGGATTTGCATAAGCCAGCACACGTGGTTGTACTGTCGAGCCCAGGCTTAGGGCATCTGATCCCCACGATCGAACTCGGCAGACACTTCGTCATCCACCACAACTTCAAACTCACAATCCTCGCCATCACTTCCCAAACCTCACACACTGAATCCCAAATCCTCCAATCAGCCACCAATCCCTCCCTCTATACCATCATCCAAATCCCATCACCCAACATTTCCTCCCTCCTCCCATCCTCCGCCGCAGTCTGCACCCGCCTCTTCCTAACAATGCGCTACTCCCTACCTTCCATCAAATCCACCCTCACAAACTTAGATATCCCTCCTTCTGCCCTCATCGTCGACATATTCGGAACAGAGGCTTTAACCTTAGCAGAACAACTCAACATTCCTAAATTCGTATACGTAGCTTCCCATGCTTGGTTTCTTTCGCTCTTTGCCTATTCTCCCGTTTTGGACAAACAAATCCAAGGACAATACATTGACCAGAAAGAACCGTTCAAGATCCCTGGCTGTAAACCGCTTCGACCCGAGGATTTAGTTGATCCAATGCTGGATCGGAACGACTTGCAGTATAAAGAATTTCTTGTCGCAGCGAATAACCTCCCCAAAAGCGACGCCATTTTAGTTAACACATGGGATGATCTTCAACATAGAGATCTAAAAGCGCTAAATGGGGAGTTATCGGGTGTGATGAAGGTTCCTGTATTTGCTGTTGGACCCCTGGTTAGACAAACCGAGTCAGAAATGAGTCAAGATACCGAGTCAATGTTTCAATGGCTTAATAAGCAACCGAAGGAATCTGTAATTTACGTTTCGTTTGGAAGCGGTGGAACGATGTCGTGTGAGCAAATGAGGGAAATAGCTTTTGGTTTGGAGTTAAGTAAACAGAGATTCATTTGGGTGGTGCGCGCGCCCACGGGAGAAGCTGCGGACGCAGCGTTTTTCACCACCGGATCAAGTAACGGGTTTGATGAGAATGAGATAGGGAAGCAGTTACCTGAGGGGTTTGTGGAGAGGATTAAAAATGTGGGTTTGTTAGTAAGTGAGTGGGCCCCACAAGTAACCGTTTTGAAACATCCTTCTATCGGTGGTTTTGTTTCGCACTGTGGTTGGGGTTCTGTGCTTGAGAGTTTAACCAACGGCGTGCCTATGGTTGCTTGGCCGCTTTATGCGGAGCAGAGGATGAATGCGACGTTTCTGGCGGAGGAGCTTGGTGTCGGGGTAAAGACTACGGCGTCACTGACGAAGAATCTGGTGGGGAGAGAGGAGATAGCGCGGTTGGTGACTAATTTGGTGGGACAAAATGGGAAAAACAACCACCGTATGAGGGATAAAGTGAGAGAGATTAAGGTGAGTGCAGAGAAAGCTTTGTGTCAGGGTGGCTCTTCTTGCACTGCAATGTCTAAAGTGGCAAAAATAATTGAAACAGGAGAATTAATTACGCTTAAGAAAAACGTGCAGACAAACGAGGGATGAATATAGACGGAAAAAAATAAAATATTATGGGTCATATAAAAAAAACTAAGGATGCGGTTTCTCAATTATGAACCTCTGCATAAATCTTTTTCTTGTGCCTGCTGTGTGAGTGTTTTGTTGTGTGTCTGTTTTGTTCCATTGTGTAAGCAGGGATCCATATGAAGATAAATTGGAAGAGTGCATTAATTTGTTCAAAATGCATCTCATTTGCAATACTTTCAATTTTGAATGTTCTGTTTGTATTTTGTAAGAATCATGCTTGGTTCTTACTTAACTTGTAGATTGTCACTTGCTTGATTTTTAGGTTCTGCTTTGTTGTTTGGTTTTGTCGGCTTTCAGCTTTCGAGTATTGGATCGTGAGAGCCCTCTTCAACCTTTCAAAGAAGGCGGGCAGAGACCACTCTCTTTGATGCTGAGCTTAGACTCTTATCCTATTGTTATGGGTTGTAGTATGTATTGTACTTTCTTTAAATTAAATTTTATTTGTTTACATATAAAAAAAATAATAATAAGATGACTTATTTTAATTTATTTAATGTATGTTTTATGTAGTTTTTGGAAGAGTCAAAACTAAATTTAAAAATATAAAAATAATTTTGATAGAATTGATTTTGTTTGTAAAATTGATTCAGTTTAAAGTTAAAATTTGTAATTTTGAACTTAAACTTGATATTTATATTAAAATTTACGGTTCAATTCTACATAAATTTATTCAAACATAAATTACTATATTTTTAAGTTACTTTTTAAAAAGAAAAAAAAATAACTTTATAGATTTAATTCATACAAAATAAATTCTTTTTCAGAAAAAATCAAACATAATTTTTTTTAAAATAACCATGTTTTTCATTTAAAATACCAAATAAAATTAAAATTAAAAAAAAAACAATATGACTATGTTTCTACATTGAGTCACCATATAAAATGGCGGATCAAAATCACCTTAACTTGAGTCGCCATTTCATATGGCATAAGGGTATATAGCAAAAACCTACCCTACAGGGAGTTACCATACCATATGACACATCTCTTCTATAGGTTATTTTTTTTTTTATTTTTTTAAAATTTTTTAATATTTATTTTATAAAATAATTAAATTTTTTATTTTAAATAATGTAAAAAATATATATAAATGTAAGAAATAGTAAATTATAATAATTTATAATATAATAAAAATTACAACAGATGAAAAAAATAAAATTAATAGTCGGCTCTATCTAAACGACCACCGGTACCACATTGTGGAGGATGCGCGCGGCGTCGAGGTCTACCACGAGGTTGTTGAGGTGTATCTGGTCTTTGCGTGTTGACCTATGGAAGAGGTATTTGTTCAGATGACCCCGACATATCAGATATATTTTGAAGCATTTGATCCCAATAGTCGGGCGAGCCGCTGCCAACAGCGCTTCCGTAATTAAGTTCAACGCCCATGTTTTCGTAGTTTTGTCGAAGAGGTTGGGTGGGGTATGGATGGTATGGTTGTCCGAATTGGTACATCGAATCAATTTGGAAACGATGTATTGGTTGTTGTGGGATGTGGTAGTCAAAAAGTGGATAGGTATTTTGTTGGTAGGAAGATTGATTGTCTGGTGTAGGGTCAAAAGAGTTATCTAGGCTATAGGTGGATGGGGTAAGGTCAAAAGATGTATCAGAGCTATATGCAAAAGTGGTGTCGGTTTCAGAACGCTGACGGTAGGGGTAAGGCTCTTGTTGTTGTGATTGGGTTGGTGGCATGTATGGGTTACGGTTTTGGAAGATTGATTGGGTGGGCATAGTTGGATGTTGCGTATAACATGGTGTTTGATGTTGGACATTGGGTTGCTGCTGTGGATTCGAGGAAGACGCACGTTGCCTCGGGTCAATCAAATATGTCGGCTCAGACACAAATGGTTGTGAGGTTGTAACCGACCTAAACCAAATCATATATTGATAACTTGGTCTAGCCCCTTCCACAATAGGGTCGGTTAAGATGTGTTGATGTTGGTTCTTCCAATGCAGACACATCTCTTTCGCAAAGTCCTTCCAATGATTTACACTCCATTGTGCATCCACCCTTAGCTGATGCCAGTGTCCCAATAACGTCGGAGCATTTGGAATATCCTGATGCACCTCGAACTGTAGTTTCACCCGGTCACTTTGGTGCATCTCCACTGTAGTGAACCTAATGATAGGTGTTTTAGATGTCCACACGTCAACATCATTGGTGTTGGGCTGGTGGTTGAGACCCTCGTACGACATCCAGACAAACTACATTAATAATATATGCAATGAGAAATACAAGTATGTGTTTATCAATTAGACAAAGTAACGTTAGATAAATTACATCATCTGGCCCAATGTGTTCAATAAGGTTGCGGTACACGACTATGGAGTTTCTGGGACATCTTTGGTAATTCATTCCTGGAACAGACCACCTAAAAAAAAGAAACATAAATAAATTAGACACTAAGAAACATCGTACAAATAATTAAGTTACAAAGAAACTTCGGTTGTAAATTCGTCTTGAAAATAAACTAACTTGTTAGCGTAAGGGAATGTGAACGGATTGCGGTTGACTGGAGCAAGTGTTGGCATCCAAGACCAACCCCACGCTTGAAGGAGATAAGCGCAACCATAAAAAGTACACGATTTTTTTTTTTCATTTTTACATAATGCACTATATAGATGGGCGAGGACAACTGAACCCCAACAATATATGCACACTTTATTAATGTTGTGCAACAACGGTAAATACATAATATTTACAGTATTTCCAGTACTGTTTGGAAATAAAAAATGGCCAAACAATATCATAATATAGCACTGAGTTTTAAGTATCTTCTCATACTCGGTGGATTCCTCATTTAACATGATACTATTGTAGTGTTGTCTGAGGTATTTCAAATTAATACCTTGCCCCCTCAGTCGACCCTCACATTCTGGCTGATGTGTGTCGACACATAGAGGGACGCCCAGTAAATCTTTGCAAAGTTGGTCATTAACACCAACTTTGCCTTTGACGACCTTACCATTGATGTGTAGGCCAAGTAACATGTATACATCCTGTAAAGTTACGGTACATTCACCGAAAGGTAAGTGAAATATGTGTTTTTCTGGTCTCCAGCGTTCTAACAACGCTAGAATAAATTTGGAATCCTGTGAGTACGATTCAATTTTGATCAAATCATTGAACCCACATGCTTCAAGGTATCGCTCTATTAAAGGGTCGTGTGGTATGTAGTCATGCACACAACAGCAAAACCTTGATACATCCTGCAAAAGAATTTAAATGTCATTAGGTTTAAAGAAAAATTAAACTTCGTAAAGATCGACAACAAAAAGAAAAATACTTACAAACTCTGCGATGTTCTCAATTGTGCCTCTGTGATCGTTGCCCATTGTGAGTAGAGACATTGTGGGTTAAGTTTGTTAGGTGAAGTTTGCTGAGTGAAGTTTGCAGGGTGACAAGAAGAATTTGTAGAACGTATGAGGAGTAGAGCTGGTAATGGGATGAGAAGAGTTTGATCATTGATGAACATGTATTTATAATGGTCAAATGTGATGAGATGAGTCACATGAAAATGCATGCTGAAGTGTGCAAGTTTCTAAGTGCAAGAGTCACATGAAAATGCATGCTGAAGTGTTGTCATTTATGTAGAGTGCAGCGAAAACATATCTTATGCTAGAGTGTAGTGTTGTCAAGCATGCATGCAAGTGTAGACATGCAGAGTGCAGACAGATATTGTAGCCATGTGTATACATTTATTAGTAAGAATCTTGTAGGCATGCATAGAATCAGAGTGTATTGTAACACCCCACTTCCCAAAATTAAAATAAAATACAATTAATTCAAGTAAACATCAGAGTTTCTCCTCAAAAGTGAGATATCACCTCAAATAATTCAACATCAATAGATAGTTTTCAAAATAAAACAGCGGAAGTAATCATTAATTCAACATTCTCGGCCATCCGCCAAATTACATGAAGTCATTCATTAACAAGGTTCACCAAAATATGATACGTCACAGGAATAAAACAAAGTCAACATAATAAAAGTAAAAACCCAAGTCCCGCGTTACGTATCAGAGCATCCTAAGACTCGACCTGCACACCACTATCCAAGCTCGCTATGTACTTGGATTATCTGTACTTCCGAAGAAGCACAGACCACCACAACAACAAAGGGGTGAGAAACATGATAAAAATTATCAGTAATAAGATACATGTTCAAAAGTAGTAATTATATAAAATATCACCCAACATGCATCAACCACGACCTACTGTCCAAACATCAAACACAACATGCAATAATGCAAACATGCAACTCAACACCATGCATGCGGTACCGACTCATTGGTTCATTCAATCGAACTCAGGATAGATCACATACACCCCTCCTTGGAAATGATCTATCCCCACCATTCTCCATAAAGGAGTACGGATGGATCGCATACACTCCTCCTGAGCAACGATCCATCCCACCATTCTCCTCAAAGGAGTACGGGTGAATCGTATACACTCCTCCTGAGCAACGATTCATCCTACCATCCTCCACAAAGGAGTACGGATGGATCTCATACACTCCTCTTGAGCAACGATCCATCCCACCATTCTCCACAAAGGAGTACAGGTGAATCACATATACTCCTCCTGAGCAACGATTCATCCCACCATCCTCCACAAAGGAGTACGGATGGATCACATACATTCCTCCTAAGCAACGATCCATCCCACCATTCTCCACAAAGGAGTACGGGTGAATCGCATACATTCTTCCTGAGCAACGATTCATCCCACCAAAACACCATGATATGCACGAAACCATACGCACAACAAATAAACTCAAGCACACTAAGTGCACACGATCCTCCTAATCACATCACCATGTATCATATATATATATATATATATATATATATATATATATATATATATATATATATATATATATATATATATATATATATATATATATATATATATATATATATATATATATATATATATATATATATATATAT